ATGGTGATCCAAGATAAGGAAGGCTGCCCAGCCCCCACTTTTCTGAGATCCCATCTGTCTCCCCAATCCCTATACCAAGACCCTCTGCACAGGTGCTGCTTAGCTAGTGACTCATGCCTGTAATCCTAGCTACTCAGGAAGATGAGATCTGAGGATTGTGGTTCAAAGCCAGCCCAGACAGGAAAGTCTGGGAGCCTCTTAACTCCAGTTAATCACCAGCAAGCTGAAAGTAAAGCTATAGCTCAAGTGGTAAAACAATAGCCTTGAGTACAAAAGCTACAAAAGAATGTAAGACCCTGAGTTCAAGTCCCAGCACACACACACACACACACACACACACAATGGATTCCCTTCAAGTAAGGACAAGCCTTCTAACAAGGCTTCATCTTAATATTGTATTATTATTTTATCTCTGTATTTTCTTTTCTTTGTGCCAGTAGTACAAGGGTTTGAACTCAGGGATTTGCACTCTCTCACAGCTGGCTGAAACCAACCATCCAGCAGGGTTTGTACTGAGACAGGCAGGTGGGGTGTTGGACACCATTTGGGGATGGAGGAGGAGGGACTGATGGAATAGGGAGGAGGGAGCGCTCTGGCTGAGATCATTTGACAGGATTCTGTGGCAGATGGGCTCTTGAGGACATCACCCAACTGAAACGGGCTTCAGAGAGCCTAACCAGAGTCTGATCAAGCAGCGTCTTTGCCAGGAGGCTACAACCAAACATAGCTCACTCCTATACTTACTTACTTGTCTACCTGCTGCAGAAAGTAATATTCTAGGTAATTTTTCCAGGCACTACCCATCCTACTTAAAAGTTATGTGGGAGAACAAACAAATGATTTGAACCTGTTTTCCCTATGTGCACCTCAAGGCATCTGGTCAAATGCAAGTGGCCATATATATGCAGTTCAGTTCCTTCTCTGTCCCGGCTGCTGATCTGCTACATGGTAAGCAGCTCTAGGCACAGTTATAGGCTCTCAGAGTGTCCTGGGGAGCACTGTATAAGATGTTCAGGGGAGCACTCTTGCAAGGTACACTAAAGTGCATAATCCAAGACACTCTGGGGAGCACTCTCCAAGGTGCGCTGGGGAGCACTCTGCAAGATCCACTGGAGAGCACTTTGCAAGATGCGCAGAGGAGCACTCCTCAAGATCCAATGTAGAGCATTCTGGTATGCCTTAGGGAGCACACTACAAGGAGTACTAGGGAGCACTCTGCAAAGTGTACTAGTGGATGGGGAGCACTCTGCAAGATGAACTAGGCAGAGACAACCAAAGCTAGCTAGAGAACAGTGTTAAGCATTTGTGCACACATCCTATAGGCTCTTTCTACCAGGTTGCTCCCCCAAACCTGAAACCAGTGTTTTCCTGTTAGAAGGAGTAGGAAGTGAGGGTCTGGGTAGAAAGAAAGCTGTCCTGCTGAATTGAATGGACAAACTCTGAAAGGTGTAGTCATTTTCTATGTACAAAGAGGGGAAAAAAGGAAAATGAGAAGAGATGGTCTCTAGCAAGGGGGGAGATGCCCATTTTTAAAGGTGCGGGCCAGTGCTAGCTGGGACTGCCGTAGTTAGGGGCTTGTATTCTCTCTGAGGTCTTCTGCTCCCCTTTTCACTCCACAGCTATTTACTGCATTTAATGAAGAGGATTGCAAGGCATTTTAATCACCTGGTTTTACGGAGGGAAATAAAAACATCAAAGTAGACATTTATATTGGGGGTAATTTAATATTTTATATGCAGTTTACTTTGTAGTCTAGATTACCAGTAATTACAGAGTCTCTGTGTTTATAAGGCTTTGAAGTATGACAGTCAACTCAAAAAACTGATCGTGGCCGTGAGCCTCATACTGTAACTTAATTCCTTGAAAACATCTTCTCTGAATTTCTAGTGAATTCAAGATTTCTCCTGGGTTCAGGGTGTACAATGGTCACTTCATGAATGTCTTAGCCTAATACTTGCAAGCAATTGTTTGTACTGGTGCCAGAGTTTGAACTCAGGCCTTCCTGAGCTCATGTGGCTTTTCCCCTCAAGGCTAGCATTCTACTACTTGAGCCATACCTCTATTTCCAGCTTTTTGATGGTTAATTGGAGATGAGAAGTCTTACAGACTTTCCAGCCTGGACTGGCTTTGAACCACAATCCTCGGATCTCAGCCCCCTGAGTAGAAAGGATTACAGGTGTGAGCTACCTACTCACACTTCTTTTCTTTTTCCTCTTTCCCTTTTTCTCTTCCTCTTTTTCTTCCTCCTCCTTCTCCTTCTCCTTTTCCTCCTCCTCCTCCTTTTCTCTCTCCCTTCTTTCCTGTGTTGTAACATAACCCAGGCTGCCCAGATCAAAGCCAGATTGTGAAACACTGGCTCTGCCTGAGACTTGGATGCTTTCTTTTGCCAGTAAACAATGCATCCCTCCCCCCCCCCCAGGGTCACGTGCACATGCTTTGATCCCACTCTGAGGCTGTGTGTGGGAGGCTCTCTTCAGTTCTCAGAAAGCTTTGCAAGCTCACAGCCCTCACCGTGACAGAAGCGCTCAGGAAAACCACACACCCAGCACAGTCACAAGTACCAGAGCAGCCACTGCAACCTCCTGCCATGCCCTAGATAGTGCCAAAGGAATTCTTAGTGAATAACTCACCTCCCGCTGGACCTCTCTCAACCCTTCATGGTAGGCATTGAAGCCATTCAGTGGCTCACATCTGTAATCATCGCTACTTGGGAGGCTGAGAGAGGAAGGATCAAGGTTTAAGGCCAGCCAGGGCAGAAAAGTTCTCGAGACACCCTTCTCAACTCAAGCTGAGTGCAAAAGCTCATGTCTGTTGTCTCAAATTACATTAGAGACCAAAATTGGGAAGATCGTGACTAGACTCTAGCAGAAAAGTCCTGAAGACTCCATCTCCACAAAGGGAAGATTAACACAGTGGGGCGAGCCTGTGATCCCAGGAAAGATGGGAAGCCTTAAAACAGGCAGATGGTGGCTCCAGGAGGCAGAGAAATGAGACCCCCACCTAAAAAGAACCAGAAAAAACCAGCCCTGGTGGTTCATGCCTATAATCCTCACTAGTCAAGCAGATTATGGCTTGAAGCCAGCCTGTGCAGGAAAGTCCAAGAAACACTTATCTCCAATGAAAGAAAACCAGAAGCGGGACTGTGGCTTAACTGGTAGTATGCTAGCCTTGAGCGAAAAAGCTCAGTTACAGTGTCCAGGCCCTGAATTCAAGACCCAAGACCAGCCAAAAAGAAAAATAAAAGAACAACCAGCTAAAGACTGAGCTGGAAAGCATAATTCAAGTGGTAGAGTACCAGCTTAGCAGGCCACAAGACTCTGAATTTAAACTTCACAACTGGAAAGGAATAAAAGGGGGGGGGGGATTTTAAAGTCACACAGAGCATCCAAAAGGAGAAAAGATATCATTCACCCAAAAGATAAATGAGCTAATTAGTAAAAAGGCTAGACTGATTAGTAGCATTTCTTATGGAGTAGTATACTACCCAGAGCAGTATTGTCTTTATGCTAGTTTGGCCAATAAGTACAGCTTAGCTGATTTGGTGTATAAAGATGGATGGAGAAATAAGTGTAGGTACATTTCATGGACAGATGGAGATTTGAACTAACGGAGACCTGCATTCTAACATTGTATCCAGGGCTGCCAATGAGAAAACTAAGACCCTAAGAATTTCATCTGCACCTGCTCCCTCAGCCAAATCTGTTTGGTATTCTTGGGTTTGCTCAGCTTCTCTCTGCAAAGGTCTTGCAATTGCAAGGACTATCACAAAGCACTGGCGGCCAGTGTTGTGAGTGAGCACCCTGCCAGACCCCTCCCTGTATGGATGAAATGCACATAAAAAGAAACCAGCACAAGATGTGGAGCTCACGCCTGTAGTTCTAGCTACTCAAGAGGTTGAGAATTGAGGATCGAGGTTTGAAGCCAGCCCTGGCAGGAAAATTCATGAGACTCATATCTCTAACCAGGAAAAAGCTGGAAGTAAAGACATCACTCAATTTGTAGAGTGCCAGCCTTGAGTAAAGAAGCTAAGGGACAGCCCAAGGTCTTGAGTTGAAGCCCCAGTCCTTGCACTCTTCCCATCCACCCAAAATGACCTAGCACACCCTACAATGTGGTGGTTATAAAGAAACTGCCAGTTCAAACCCTGGCTCTAACTGTACCATGGCCCCTTGTGGAAGGCTGCCTCTCTTCCTCTCTTGCCAGTGCAGCACACAGATATTGCCTTTTCCTTTCCTTCTCTTGTGTGTGTGTGTGTGTGTGTGTGTGTGTGTGTGTGTGTGTGTAGTCTTGAACTCAGAGTCTGGGCACCATCTCTGGGCTTTTTTGTTCAAGGCTAGCGCTCTACCACTTGGCATAGCTCCACATAAGGCTTTTTGGTGATTCATCGCAGTCAAGACTCTCATAGTCTTTCCTGCTTGAGCTGGCTTTGAATCTCAAACCTCAGATCTCAGCCCCCTGAGTAGCTAGGACACAGGTGTTAGCCACCATGCCCAACTTCTTTTTGAACAAATATGTAAGCATCTTTCTGCGTTTAGGTCTTCAGTTGCTGAGCACGTCAGGGCACTCTGGTGCACAGATTTCCAAGCATTCACGCTCATGATGGAAATCTTTCCTGTGCTGAGCTCCGCTCTTGGCGTGTCTTCATTCATATGCTTCTTTTCTGCATTGAGCTGTAAGTCCGAACAGTTTCCTGACTTAGTTCCTGCACAGTCCCAGGACTGGCTCAATTGGCAAAGAAGATGCCATGATTCTACCCTAATCTAACAAGAAAGCCACAGCAAGAGTCTGGAGATCATTTCTTCTTTCCGGCTGCTGCACTAGAATTGATGACTAAGAACTCAGTAAGGAAGATGATTAGCCAGGGAAGGGCCACTTCTGTGTAGGAAAGGCGATGCTGGTTAATTATGGCACCAGATCTCCACTTTCTCCCCCTCCAAGTTCCTGCGCTGTTCTTCACCACTTGAAGTTAATGGCTGTCTGTTGCCTGTTCCCCTTGGCAGGAGTGTGGCTTCGGCTATGGGGAGGACGCGCAGTGTGTGCCGTGCCGGCCGCACAGGTTCAAGGAGGGCTGGGGTTTCCAGAAATGCAGGCCGTGTCTGGACTGTGCCCTGGTGAACCGATTCCAGAAAGCCAACTGTTCCTTCACCAGCGACGCCATCTGCGGGGACTGCTTGCCAGGGTGAGTGGCCTCAAGTGCAGTGTTCTCTATGTATGCTTCTACACTGAAAAACACTGATGCTTACCCAGAGGCATCTGCAGAGATCTGGTGGCGTCTTGTCTCCATATCCACTTCGGAGGGTCTGGGGGCCTCTGTGCTTACTTGGTGCCAAGGCGCTGGTGACAAATGGCATCAACAGGTGTGTTAACAAAAAGAGCAGTGTCAGGAAAACCTCCTGAGGTCTTGCAGACCATTGTCAAAGAAAAACTTAAACAGATCAAGAAGTAAATAAGCAACTCATGAAGAGACACAGCTGGGCAGTGGTGTCATCCTAGCTACTCAGGAGGCTGAGATCTGAAGACCATGGTTTGAAGCCAGCCCAGGCAAGACAAATCCAAAAGATTTTATGTCCAATGCCAATGCGTGGCTTTTCCATCTGCTTGTGTGTGTGTGTGTGTGTGTGTGTGTGTGTGTGTGTATCTACCTCTTCATCTGGAAAATGGGCAAAGAGGAAGTTCCCAGGGGTGGGAATGGCTGAGATCAGGCAGTCTTCTGAGAGGGGCAGAAAAGAAGAAATTAAAGACTTGATTCCTCCACACACATGCTCTCCCCAAAGCTACCTTCTGGGTATTTTCAGATTACCCCTGGAGATTTCCTCGTGCTTAACCCCATGGCTGTCATCTGAGCCCCAGGACTGGCTTCAGTTTCTTCACTGTCACCTCATTCTTTAAGTAAATACATCATTTGGGGGCAAGTTAAAGATAAACAAACACTTGAATGACTGTTTCACAGTTTATTTATGTGATTAGTTTTAAATTACATCCTTTCCAAGCCAGTATTCATGAGAAGAGAGCAGGTGGTTTGTTTCATAGTGATTGGCACTCAGGTCTTTTGAGAACATTGTACACACGGATGGTTCCAAGCCAGCCCAGGCAGGAAAGTCCTGGAGATTCTTATTCCAATTAACCATCCAAAAGCCATGAATAAAGGTGTAGCTCAAGTGGTAGAAAGCCAGCTTTGAAGGAAAAAAAGCTAAGGGAAAATGCTCAGAACCTGAATTCAGGACAAACAAACCAACCCCAACACTTGATTTATAAGGTGTTTGATACTTTCAATTGCACCAGAAATGCCCCCAAATAGCTGATTTCTTATTCTCCCACTATTACATCATCCCAATATAGAAAAGGGGTACATTGGGGAGAATCATAAAGTTATCGATACTTCAGAGTTATTTCCTGCCTGCCCAGAATGGCCACCAAAGGATTTGCCTGTCTACAATTCTACTGTATTTCAGCTTTTGCATGTGTGTTGGTACTAGGCCTTGAACTCAGGGCTTTGCACTTTTACTTAGCTTTTTGGCTTAACGCTGGTGCTCTACCACTCGAGCCATACCTCCACTTCCTTTGGGTGCTTATTCTTTAAACCATAGAACTAACCTTGGAGATCACGGATAATTTGTGTTGTTAACTCATGTCACTATGACTGTCAACTCAGATAGCAGAGCTAATCAGAGTCATTTTCCTTTCTCTTCTAGATTTTATAGGAAGACGAAACTTGTTGGTTTTCAAGATATGGAGTGTGTGCCTTGCGGTGACCCCCCTCCTCCATACGAACCCCACTGTGAGTGATCGTGTTCCAAGCTGGGCACAGGGGACAACCAGCCTTTTACCGTGTTATGTTTTAGAATTTTTTTTCTTCCCTTGGCAAATGGAACAAAAAATCTTGCTCTACCATTGGCCATTAGATACCCTGCTTTCCAAAAGTGGTCCTCCACATGAGTCTTCATTCCTTCCTTTTTCTTGTTGAACAAATCAGTGAGAAGAGAAAGCTCCTTGTGTACTGGGAATATGGCTTTACCTAACACAATGGAGCCTTGTCTCTGTGAGTTAACATTAGTTCATCTCTTTGATCCTGTGCTTTCCTTAGAGATAAAAGGTATTTGTTTCCAGTTTTCAATCTGCATGGATTTGGCACAGAAGAAAGGATGACTGTTCGCCCTCTTAGTGCTAAGTATACAAACCTGGCCAACAAACCCTTCTCCCAGGTTATATTATGGTCGCCAGTGCCCCAGCAGGGATTGGGGGAAAACTATGCCTCATCCTCAAAGAAACTGTGATGACCAGGCAAGATGGTAAAGAAACATGCTCTCTTCCTCACAAGAGCTACACTGGCCTTTTGTGAGGGCGATGTTTTGTTTTTTATCTTGTTATTTTGATGCTGGCACCGAGGCTTGACCTCAAGACCTTGCACTCTTGCTTAGCTTTTTTGGCTCAAGGCTGGTACTCTACTACTTGGGCTAAGCTCCATTTCCAGCTTTTTCCTGGTTAATTGGAGATAAGAGTCTCATGGACTTTTCTGCCCAGGCTAGCTTCGAACGTCAATCCTCAAATCCCATCCTCCTGAGTAGGTAAGATCACAGGCATGAGCCGCCAGCACCCAGCACTGCTGACTTTTTCTTGTTATTTTCTAAAGATTTCATTCTTTAACTAAAGTGTACAAATCTACGATGTCATAGATAGTGAAAGATGCACTTATTTAATGTGAATAATAATCTATTTCTCCATGTATGAGACCATTTGGAAAGCAAAATACATTATTTGTCCACATCCAAAATGCAACATGCTCAGGAGAGAGAAGACCGTCTGGAGCTTTAGTGAACAGCACTGGTGCTTATCTTTCTTCTAGAAAGTTGGAGTCTTTTGCTGTTCCTAGGGATCTTTCCAAAACACAGCTAATCTCTTCATAGGAGTGTCTGGCATGGTTGAGAGGAAATTATACACTGTGCCTTATGTTTTCCTTCTTCTCCTTTGGGTTTTTGAACTTGGGTACAAAGAGTTTCTTCTGAGGTGTATGCCCTCAGGCTATCCAGAAGGGATACCTCAAGGATGGAGCTTGTGTCAAGGGTCAGGAGGCAATGCAGAGGCTGAGACTTCCTGGGTCTCAGGAGTAACCCTGTGCTGCTGACTTACCTCTTGGCTCCTGGCTTAGAACACTTTTTGGATGCTCAACTCTCCTCTCATGGTTCTTTGGAGCTGCTGTCTTATGCATGCAACAAGTGACTGTCCTAGATATGTGGTTTAGTAGAGGCTGTGTGAGTGGTTCTAAGATGAACAGGGAAGGTCATGTGGCAGGCACACAGCCCCACTCAATAGCCATCACGGGGTGTTGGGGGAAATTTCAGAATGTAATCTAGAAGGTCTAAAACTGAGCGCTGGGGGTGTGGCTCCAGTGATAAAGGGCCTGGCTCAAATGGTGCTATAGTTTAACTGGCAGGAGGCATGGCACAAGTGGTAGGGGTGTGGTTCAGGTGATGTGGGCATGGCTCAAGTTGTAGACAGCCTAGACAGCCTGCCTGGCAAGCTCAAGGTCCTGAGTTCAAGCCCCAGTCCTGTAAAAAAAGAAGGAAGGAGGAGCTGGGAAGGTGGCTCAGTGGTAGAGCACTTGCCTTGCATGCATGAGGCCCTGGGTTCGATTCCTCAGCACCACATAAGCAGAAAAAGCCAGAAGTGACACTGTGGCTCAGGTGATAGAGCACTAGCCTTGAGCTGAAGAGCTGAAGGACAGCGCCCAGGCCAGAGTTCAGGCCCCACAACCGGCAAAAATTAAAAAAAAAAAAAAAGAAGGAAGGAAGGAAGGAAGGAAGGAAGGAAGGAAGGGGAAAGAAAGAAAGAAAGCAGAAAGAAAGAAAGAAAGAAAGAAAGAAAGAAAGAAAGAAAGAAAGAAAGAAAGAAAGAAAGAAAGAAAGAAAGAAAGAAAGAAAGAAAGAAAGAAAGAAAGAAGAAAGAAAGAAAAGAAGTCTAAAACTGAGCATCATGGTATGTGTTTGCAATTCTAGTTACAAGGCTGAGACAGGAGGATCAATTGAGACAGCAGTTCAAGAGTAGCATAATCAATATAACAAGACCTTCCCAACTTAAAAAAAATAGAGAAGATTGGAAGTGTGGCTTAGTGACAGAGCTTGCCAACGTACGTGAGGCCCTGGGTTGTATCCTCTGTATTGGAAAAGACAGCAAACAGGGGGAGGAGGAGGAAGAGGAGGAGGAGGAAGAGAACTGTCTTATGTAGAATTTTCAATCTTTGTAGCTAGTAACAAGGTGGAACATAACTGGGAACTGTTTGAGAAGGCTTGGATTTGCTCTGTACTGACGTGCAGCCTCAGGCAAATCATCACCCCTCTTTGAACCTCTGTTTCCTGGCCTAGAAAATGGGGATACATGAGCTCCCTACCTGCAGATTTGGGAGAGAACCAAATGCAGAAGTATTGAGTGTCAGCCCTACAGGGACAACCAATGACCTCACTTCCTCTTTTCCATCCACCACGGCTATTTACTTTGCAAGTCTGCACACAGACCTGTGGGGAGGTCATCACAGTGGACCGGGCCCCGAAGTCCAGCTCACTGGTGGGTGAGCAGCGAGAGACACTTCATAGGAGCTGCCATGAAGGTAGAAGTTTGATAAACTCCTGCCATAAGACTGAGACGCAGGGCACCCCCCCCCCAACTCCATCTGCTTTCTTGTCTTTCCCATTGCCAAGCCTCACACCCCACCAAAAGAGCACCCCTTCACACACACTCCTGAACTAATAATGGATTTGTGATGCTCAGTGGTCCCACAGGTCACTAATTAGTCATAATGCCCGATTGGGCATGGGGGCACAGTCTAAGTAGTGCCATTAATACAAATTACCATTGAGTTAAAAGGTCCTTTCTAATGGAATCCTGGCTGCAGGCTCTGCTCCAACTTCTTCCACACCTAATAATGGAACGCACAGAAGAAATAGAAGAAGGAAGAAAAAAAAGCAAGAAATTTTAGAACCATATCCTTCCTGCCTTGGGCCTGATAAGAAAGGCAGATTTTTTGTGTGATTTCTTTGAGCCATATTTACTTTTTTGGAACAAATGGCTTTGAAAAGCATTCAAAGTGGGTTTTCACCAGGGCATAACTATATTGAACGTGTGTTTAACCTAGATGTTTGCTTTGCTCTTGGGGGCTTCGTAAAACAAGCCACGTGATTCTAAAGATAGTGAGCAATCAGCGAATGGCTCGTGTGGGAGGAAGGGAAGGCCAGCCGGACAGCCAGGGGGCCCCGAGACACTACAGGAATGTCATCTGGCTCAGGACCCCATCAACAGTCACTTTCCCTTGTACCAAGAAGGATTTAGTTGTGGAAGAAAATTATGATTTTTCCAAAGAGAATTTAAAGTGTTTTCTTGTAAAACAAATGCAAATAGTTTAAAAGGACTAGAAATATGTCCCTTTTTTGTTTGTTTATGCAGTCCTGGGGTTTAAACTAAGGCCCTGGATACTGTCTCTGAACTTTTGTGCTCAAGGCTAGCAATGTACAGCTCCACTTCTAGCTTTTTGGGTGGTTAATTGGAGATAAGACTTTCATAGACTTTCTTACCCAAGCTGGCTTTGAACCTTGATCCTCAGATCTCAGCCTACTAAGTAGCTAAGATTACAGGCATGAACCACTTCCACCCAGCTATATGTCCCTTTTTTTTTTTCTTTGAACCTCTACTGGGGCTTGAACTCAGGGCCTGGGTACTGTCTCTTAGTTTTATTTGTTCAAGGCTGGTGCTCTACCATTGAACCACACTGCTACTTCCAGCTTTTTGCTGATAACTGGAGATAAGAGCCTCATGGACTTTCCTGTCCTGGGTGGCTTTGAATCACAATCCTCAGATCTCAGCCTCCTGAGATTATAGATATGAGCCACTAGCACCCAGCTGAAATATGTTTTTTTTGCCTTTTTAGAAATGTTTTTATTATAAAAATAGTGTACAGAGGGGTTACAGTTACATGAATAAGGCAATGAGTACATTTCCTGTCCAGCATTGTGACCTCCTCCTTTGTTTTTCCCCTACCATCCCTTCCCTCCCCACTCCCCAACTCCTCCCTCTCACCCCCCCCCCACTAATTTGTAAAGTTCATATTCAACATAGTGTCTTGTACATCTCATTGTTACAATGGGTCAACCTATATCCTTATTTCAGCATTTTGTTATTTTCCTTCCCCTCCCCAAATTAGAAAAATGTATATACAAGACGCAGGGTACCAACATCAAATAGAGTGACAACAATGGTTATACCATGGGGAAAGAACATACAAAAGAAACAAAAAAAATCACATAGTACATTTTAAATATGTTAAAAACAATAGCAAGAAAGAAAAACCAAGTTGTGTCCCTGTCTTGGGGTTCATTTCACTTAACTTCATCTTATATGGTGCATAGCTTTTGACATTTTCTGCTTATACTAGATATTGCAAATAAGGGAAACCATGGAACCTATGTTTCTTTGGGCCTGGCTTACTTTACTTAATATAATTTTTCCAAGTCTTTCCATTTTCTAACAAATGGAGCAATATCATTCTTTCTGGTGGAGGCATAGAATTCAATATATATATATATATATATATATATATATATATATATATCACAGTTTCTTGATCCATTCATCTGCTGAGGGGCATCTGGGTTGGTTCCATATTGAAATATGTTCTTATTGAAGGTAACTTTTAAAGTTTAATAGAAAAAAAATAGGAACAACTATAGTCCCACTAAACAAAAGCATTTCTAGCACCAAAGAATTGCAAAATACAGGGAAAATAACTCTTTG